CNCCACACACACACACCCACCCTCATACATCGCAGGGACAGGTCAAGTTGAGTATAAATTATAACCGGACGGGAACAGTAGAGTATCAACTATATGTATTACACCATTTGTAGTAGACACATCCTGTTCAGGTAGTCCGATACCATTTACTTTTACCTTGCCTCCTGGAATTATATAGAAATACAATCGTTGACATTTGCCGCTTTACTTATACTAAATATACTGACGGGCCATGCCCAGGATTAATATGATGAAATACATCCTACATCCTAAAGACGAAAGCATCATCGTGGAAACGTCGCATGTTATTTATCAAAGTAATTTTTCATCCATGTAATTGTGTTCAGTTATTACAATCAAAATTTATCTAGAAAGCATTCGAGGGAATTCTTGGCCGCTTTTCTACAGTTGGAAATATCCTTAAGGCACAGATACCATGGTTACAAAGCACAGTTTGTTAGCAGCTCTACATATTTACTGTCTTATTTATCCCGCGAGCTACCACGGTATTATTCATGATTTGAGTCTTGAATATATGTAAATAGTCTTCAGAAGTACTAGAAATGTATGAAAATGCCACAATTCCTTCAAAAATATCTCAAATTAGGAATTTCTTTTCCTTTTTCTATAGATCTATTTTCTATATATGGCAATCACTCAAGAAAAGACGTCTTTTTAACTTTTAAACGCGGATAATTCTGGACACACATGGATTTGAAGCCTCAAATTTCGACGATGAGCTGTGAACACTATTACTAATTGGTTTAGCAGAAAAATGCAGCATCTGTCCCTTTAAATCGTCCCCAGAATTCCCAAATTACTAATGTACAGAATCAAAATAACAACTTGCCAGAATTAGTGATGGTTAGTGATTTTCCATTGAAAGTTCGAACTGTATCTTCATAATAAAAGGCTGCAGTGTACATTGTCCCTCGTAATATATGATACTCTAAAATATCTAAATATAAATACACATATAGATTAATATGACATTGCATTTACACATTGACCTTACCTGCTCTAACCAATCAATTTCCCGCCTTCTCCAGCGGTGGCATTTTGTTAGAGAATGTTAGTTTTGTTGAAGGAATTTGAGTGGTTGAAGCAGATATCATCAGATTAGGTCAAAAGGTTACGTTGACGAATGTTTAAGAATACAGTCGTTAGATTCTACCCTGAAGTGGCTCTATTAAAGATAAAACTAATGAAAACAGAAAGAAAATGTTATACAATTATATTTAGACTGTTAGTTATTCTAAAGATTGTTGTGAGGTTCTATTAACTCTTCCCAAAATCTGAATGTTAATCAGACATTGTCGATATTAATAGTAGTGTTAGATTCCATCGATATTACTAGTAGTGTTAGATTCCATCGATATTAATAGTAGTGTTAGATTCCATCGATATTAATAGTTGTGTTAGATTCCATCGATATTAATAGTTGTGTTAGATTCCATCGATTTTAATAGTGGTGTTAGATTCCATCGATATTAATAGTATTGTTAGATTCTATCGATATTAATAGTAGTGTTAGATTCCATCGATATTAATAGTTGTGTTAGATTCCATCGATTTTAATAGTGGTGTTAGATTCCATCGATATTAATAGTATTGTTAGATTCTATCGATATTAATAGTAGTGTTAGATTCCATCGATATTAATAGTAGTGTTAGATTCCATCGATATTAATAGTTGTGTTAGATTCCATCGATTTTAATAGTAGTGTTAGATTCCATCGATATTAATAGTGGTGTTAGATTCCATCGATATTAATAGTGGTGTTAGATTCCATCGATATTAATAGTGGTGTTAGATTCTATCGATATTAATAGTGGTGTTAGATTCCATCGATATTAATAGTAGTGTTAGATTCCATCGATATTAATAGTGGTGTTAGATTCCATCGATATTAATAGTGGTGTTAGATTCTATCGATATTAATAGTAGTGTTAGATTCCATCGATATTAATAGTGGTGTTAGATTCCATCGATATTAATAGTGGTGTTAGATTCCATCGATATTAATAGTAATGTTAGATTCTATCGATATTAATAGTAGTGTTAGATTCTATCGATATTAATAGTGGTGTTAGATTCCATCGATATTAATAGTGGTGTTAGATTCCATCGATATTAATAGTAGTGTTAGATTCTATCGATATTAGTAGTAGTGTTAGATTCCATTGATATTAATAGTAGTGTTAGATTCTATCGATATTAATAGTAGTGTTAGATTCTATCGATATTAATAGTATTGTTAGATTCTATCGATATTAATAGTAGTGTTAGATTCCATCGATATTAATAGTAGTGTTAGATTCTATCGATATTAATAGTGGTGTTAGATTCCATCAATATTAATAGTTGTGTTAGATTCTATCGATATTAATAGTGGTGTTAGATTCCATCGATATTAATAGTGGTGTTAGATTCTATCGATATTAATAGTAGTGTTAGATTCCATCGATATTAATAGTATTGTTAGATTCTATCGATATTAATAGTGGTGTTAGATTCCATCGATATTAATAGTATTGTTAGATTCCATCGATATTAATAGTATTGTTAGATTCTATCGATATTAATAGTGGTGTTAGATTCCATCGATATTAATAGTATTATTAGATTCTATCGATATTAATAGTGGTGTTAGATTCCATCGATATTAATAGTATTGTTAGATTCTATCGATATTAATAGTGGTGTTAGATTCTATCGATATTAACAGTGGTGTTAGATTCCATCGATATTAATAGTGGTGTTAGATTCTATCGATATTAACAGTGGTGTTAGATTCCATCGATATTAATAGTGGTGTTAGATTCTATCGATATTAATAGTGGTGTTAGATTCTATCGATATTAATAGTTGTGTTAGATTCTATCGATATTAATAGTTGTGTTAGATTCTATCGATATTAATAGTTGTGTTAGATTCTATCAATATTAATAGTGGTGTTAGATTCCATCGATATCAATAGTAGTGTTAGATGTTTCGGATGTAGTGTAAACAGTGTTTATCTGAGATCGGGAACTCTACAATCTAAATAGGGTATCACCACAATTAACAAACAAACATATTGATGTGTCAAGGTCTTCTTGTGATATTATCCTGACCCTCACGTCTCAAATATTGATAGGTTGAGATAATACCTTCGGTTTTACAACCCAGTTTCCCCTGTCAGTGATACATGTAAGATTGTTTGACATGGATAAAGCGTCTAGTCGATCGGATGAGACAATAAACCGAGGCCCCGTATGCTACAGGCAGCGCAAGTTAAAGATCCCTCGACAGTTGGAAATCGAAAAAGAGCAGGCTAATGCAGGCAAAATATCCCTCAAACACCCTGCATGGCGTTACCCGACTGCATTAGCCCACATGGTGCAGAAAAGTATTAAAATATTGATGTGCAAGGACACATGTGCACAGTTTTTACACAGGTTGTTAGTTTAGAAAAAAAAAACAATAAATCAATTATTGTTTTCTTTATCCCTCTTGACAATCATTGATTTTGGCATTTTGAACAATTGTATGATTGAAGATGGCTCACATCAATAATCTATAGAAAGTTATTAACCAATGAAAGAGACAGTGCTGACACTTACTAGCTAAATATTTCGGGTTTGACATCAATTGTTTTAATTCGCTCGCAGATAACTTCAAAAACGCTGCATCACTCGGTGTAAACATTGTTAATGGATGCGTCCCTGAAAATGTAAACATGTTGATGACGATCACATTTTGGTATAAAGCTACTTTTCAGGTGACGAAGCTCAGTAAGGTGTACTTTATCAATTCAAGATATTTCAACCCTTACTTCCAACAAGTAGCATTCACTGTTGTGGTTTAGAATTAGAGTGAATAAAAGTATATTCGACATTATTTTAACTGCACTTCATGTAGGGTACCGCTTCAGATTCAGTTTAAAATCGTTGTTGTTAAACCATGCCCTTAGGGGGCATCTTAGTTTGTCTATCGAAGGTTACTGCCCTGTTTCTCGACTATATTCGATAACCTTCACTACATAAAGACGTAAGGCAACAGTAGTATCGTTCATAAGAAAGAAGACGAGACCTGCAATGTCAAATATCAGCCTAACCTTTCTCGTACCAACCTACAATGGTTAACCTGCAAAGATGACAGAAGATAGGTAGCAATATTAAAAACTTACCATTAAGAAGGGAGACCAGACCAGCTATCCTAACAGCTTGTTGTAAAAGAGTAAAGCCAGTGGTAGCTTGTATAGTGCTATAAATAGAACTAACTGGTATTCTCATGACAGAGCTCAGCGTATGAACCACACCATTGGTAGCATTCTGGTTGCTTCTAATAATAACAGCTCCTAACACTGTGAACACCTAGAGTAGAGGAGATAAACAGTCAACTTGGGTTCACGATGGATTTACAACTTATTCTGCAAACCTCTCAAAATGAATTTTTATGGATAACAATTTAGGATCATAGGGGCCCTGTCTGTCAGCTAGTCCCAGGTCGATTCTCTTGGCATTGACGTTGTAAGTTGCAATAATAGCAACTTAAGATCACTACCCTAGGGTCCTGTCTACCAGCTTGTCTTAAATCTCTTGGCAAAGACTTTACAAAAGCAACAACTTAGGTTCACGAGGATCCTGTCTACCGGCTTGTCTTTGATTTAATCTCTTTGGTACTTGGTAAGGAAGAAAACTAGATCATTGATAATCTTTTCTTTTCTTTTTGTTTGTCCTTGTAAATAATTCGTGGTTTGTGGACAGACATAAAATGTCACTTTTTATTAGAGTAGCTCACTTTATGATTTCTAGTTTTTTAGAATTTTCGAAATAGTCGAGGGATGGGTTTGGTTTTTCACTTCGTCATAAATATAGCCAACCCCTCGACTGTATTGTTGTACTTTGATATCTTATTTCTTGATGGAGTCATTGATGTAGCCAATATGACATCCATCAAGGGCCAGATTTGTCGGGTTATACCGTACAGTATTGTATCTATATTATTATATTATATTTATATTATTGTGTTATGTTTATAGACGTTCAGTCTGATATTATAACCTTACCGTGTTGTGTTTATAGACGTTCAGTCTAATATTATAACCTTACCGTGTTATGTTTGTAGACGTTCAGTCTGATATTATAACCTTACCGTGTTGTGTTTGTAGACGTTCAGTCTGATATTATAACCTTACCGTGTTGTGTTTGTAGACGTTCAGTCTGATATTATAACCTTACCGTGTTGTGTTTATAGACGTTCCGTCTAATATTATAACCTTACCGTGTTGTGTTTATAGATGTTCAGTCTGATATTATAACATTACCGTGTTGTGTTTATAGACGTTCAGTCTAATATTATAATCTTACCGTGTTGTGTTTATAGACGTTCAGTCTAATATTATAACCTTACCGTTTTGTGTTTATAGACATTCAGTCTGATATTATAACATTACCGTGTTGTGTTTATAGACGTTCAGTCTAATATTATAACCTTACCGTGTTGTGTTTATAGACATTCAGTCTGATATTATAACATTACCGTATTGTGTTTGTAGATGTTCAGTCTGATATTATAACCTTACCGTGTTGTGTTTATAGATGTTCAGTCTGATATTATAACCTTACCGTGTTGTGTTTATAGACGTTCAGTCTGATATTATAATCTTACTGTGTTGTGTTTATAGACGTTCAGTCTGATATTATAACCTTACCGTGTTGTGTTTATAGACGTTCAGTCTAATATTATAATCTTACCGTGTTGTGTTTATAGACGTTCAGTCTAATATTATAACCTTACCGTGTTGTGTTTATAGACGTTCAGTCTGATATTATAACCTTACCGTGTTGTGTTTATAGACGTTCAGTCTAATATTATAACCAGGGAGTAAGGAAGGTACTAGCTGTTCGTTGTGAAACTGGGTGGTATAAAGTTTATCACCAACAGAATGGTATAACACTACTTCTCGTAAAGCTGTAATGTTTAAAAATAAGAGCTTTCTCCAGTACGGTGGTATTTCAAACCATGCTAAGTTACTCGGTCCAAATACTGTGAAAGGACCTGAAAATGAGAATTTTCTGTATGACTAAACTTACGAATAAACAGGGTGATGTCATTGAAGTGGGGTAATTGTCTATGCATTGTCCGTATGAATCGAATTTGACCAATTATCGTATAGTTATAAATAACCAGAAAGGATAAAACTTCAGTTTACTTTGAATCCTTTCTACAGTATCAAAACATGACGTAGAAGGGGGTGAGGGCCGAAACTGGGCCGACTTTCGAAAACACTGGCTGGCACAGGCATCAGAATATTTTTTACCTCGAAAAGGATTCGAACCCTCGGTACCTATTCGACTAGCAAACGAATATCCAACTTAATCTTAGGATACATTGAGGAAGATTTGATGAAAATATTTGTTTGTTAGCATTTAAAATAATCACACTTCCTCTGAACTGGACTATAAAGTGAAGAGAAAGTCCTACCTTTGGAGGAGAATGTATCTTTAAGTGAAGCTCGAACCATGAAGCTCTCGGTATCTGTCTGTCCTGTATAAACAGCGAGGTGGGGAATGTCCATGTCCGGTACCGGTACTCCATCTTTTAACTTGGAGACCCCAAAAGTCAGGTTCATCTTTCTTACACTCTCTGCATTTCCAGCAACAAGCAAAGCAGCCAGATATATGAATAATGTGTCCATTTTAATACATACTATAATCAACAAATGGAAATGTGGTATCGGTTTGCACAGTGTTGGCAACCAAATACTATTCTATTTATAGTAACATGGGGTAGACACTTTATGCTCGATCAAAATGACACACAACTCTTTGTCGAAATGTTCTGGTAATCCGAAAGTTCTGTGTATGTATTTTATTATGGATGAATCAAGATCGTTTCTAATTTGGAAATTTGACCCCCCCCCCCCCCCCTCTCTCCACACCCACTCTAGATTTATCATTATAGATTTATTATAGGGAAAGAATTGTAGTTGTTTATCATTTTTCCACTTCTATCAATTCAACATCAGGTAATCTGTTTCCGGCTTTCTAGAAACTGGAATTGTAATCGCCCGTGGAATTCCTGATACTTGACTCTTTGGATATTGAAATAGGTTATTTCACTATTCACGTTGAAACTAGCCACAGTGGAATAGCTAAACATTTGCTGTCAAAAGACATACGATAGATGTTGAAAAATGATTTATTTATTGTTTCGTTTCTTCATACGTAATAAAAACATTCCAACTTTTTATTGTAGCCTGTCTTGTCGGAGTGTCGGAACCATGACACCGCTGAAATTTGACTCTTTGGATATTGAAATCAAATTCCATTAATAACGTAACTGATCTGAGCCATCCATTCGACCAGTTGTACCTTAGTCTCTGAAACGAGAATTTCTTAGGCATAGCTAATCTGTATAGCGTCCACGGCTCAACGTCGAAATTTGAGATATTTTTTAGGGAGAGTAATCGTTCCCTTCACAATATTTTACCTTTATCACTCTTCCAAGGGAGCCGCTGTGGCTCAGTGAGTTAGACGCTTGCTCGCTAACCTGAAGGTCCAGGGTTCAATCCCTTCATAATACCTTCGGATTTTTCAACCTGGTTCCCCCTGTAAGAGGGGCTGACTTGGAAAAAAGCGTCTAGTCGTTCGGATGGGCCAATAAACCGAGGCCCCGTGTACTACAGGCTGTGCACGTTAAAGATACCTCGACAGTTGAAATTCGAAAAAGAGCAGGCTAATGCCGCTGTCCTGGCAAAAATTTCCCTCATGGCACCTTGCATGGCGTTGCCCGTCTTCATTAGCCCACAAGGTGCAGAAGAGTAGGACGTAAAACTCCATTCATTTCATTCCCCCTTCCAACTTCGCTTCTTTCTCTTTTTAATAACGCCACATAAGAAATTATACTTGTTGATATTGTACTGTAACTGTAATATTGATAATTGTTGTAAAAGATCTACATTAGTCCAGAAGAAACAATGGTTTCTTAATCTCTCAGTGTCTCCTTCACTGTCGGCATGGGATGGGTCTCCTTATAGAATGTCGTCGATCAAGTAGTTATGTTGACTGTTATTGTTTATTACAATAACTATTGGTGTACATTCTTTGTTAAATCTCAATTGAAATATAATATAAATAACCTTATACAAAACATAACCCACATTCAGTCTGCATTAACTTCCGAATCGGACGTTTAATTTACACCAAGCAACTGTTCCGCTTTCTGCCTCGCGGCCATTGAAACCAAGGTAAACTATGATTAGGTATTAGATAAGAAGAACATTATAATGGGTAACTGTAATTGTGGGTAAGTTCTTATAAAAATTTTTTTGGTTTCTATCAAAATCATTCGATATTATTCAATTACCTCACACCGTTTTGTAGATAATTTAAGGCACAGGTTCGCCTTTTAGGGAGATTTATTTGATTTGGTTCTAGAATATATATGTGAATAGCCTTCACTTTCAAAAATACTTCAAACTTTGTCCTATTTCTAAATACATGTATGTCTTTTCTATGTATGTCAGAGACAGAGACTAATCGCCATTTGAGCTTTCAAATGCAGGTAGTTCTGATCACACATGGATTTGAAAGCTGGAATATCGAACGCTATTCCCGATTCTAACACTAGGGTACGATGGGGTCGAAAGAATGCCGAACCTATACATGTCGTTTCTATCTTGGCCTTGTCCAGGACCTTATCTATATATCACTATTATATAAAGAAGCACTAGATATATAGATATACTATTTCTGTATTTATTAACTCAACGTTTCACATGCTCATACAGACAGCATTATCAAATATTATATAGAATCACTAGATATATAGATATACTATTTCCAACATTTATTAACTCAACGTTTAACATCTTCATACAGACAGTGTTATCAAATATTATATAGAATCACTAGATATATAGATATACTATTTCCAACATTTATTAACTCAACGTTTAACATCTTCATACAGACAGTGTTATCAAATATTATATAGAATCACTAGATATATAGATATACTATTTCTAACATTTATTAACTCAACATTTCACATGTTCATACAGACAGTGTTATCAAATATTATATAGAATCACTAGATATATAGATATACTATTTCTGTATTTATTAACTCAAGTGAGTGAGTGAGAAAAATAGGCCATAAAACTACTGTTAATTATAAAATTCATTTTCCCCGGAAATCAAAAATTTATTCTCCCGAAATTTGTCAATAGAAAGTCGTCGATTAAGTAGTTATGTTGACTGTTATTGTTTATTACAATAACTATTGGTGTACATTCTTTGTTAAAATCTCACGTGATACTATATAAATAATCCTATTCAAAACAGATATTTAAACCGACATTCATAGTTATTATGGCTTTATTATTCTATCTTGTCAAATAGTGCAGCGGTTTCGCTTGTCTGTATCGGCTGGATCATGTGCTGAACGTTTGACCTACTGTGATGTGATGATTAACCCAGTTAATCTAACTTTATTTCAGAAAGAATAGTCCTAATTCCCATCAGAATCGTGGTCTTCTCAATCCGACAGTTGCAGTGACAGTAGAGTGTTATCAAGCATATGAAATACAGAAATAGTACATCTATATCTTGTGCTGCTTTACCTATACCTATTTCTATATGTCTATTTACCAGAATATATTATATCATTTCATTTCAGACTAGAGGATATACCTGATCCCCCTAATCCACCTTATAACAGAAGGAAATATTTGGTACCTGCCGAATTGGAAATTCTAAGAGTTTCTACACGAAAAGTATTTACAGTTTTTTGTAATACATTTCATAAAGTTGAAATCCTGAAATATATGATCTATGCAGAGACTCGTATTCCACCCAACAACCAGAAATTACTATTCAACAACGAAATCTTGTACGACCATCAGATATTGTCTGCCTGCGGTGTCGAGGATGGATACAGAATCGATTTGTATGAGTTAACTTCTGGACTACTTCGCAGGTAATTGTCAAACCCTAATTAACGCCCACTATGCCGTTATCGGTTTATGCCCAATTTCGATTTTATGAGTTATTCAATAGTCCATAGTGTGCAGTAATGTATATTTAAACTTTAATCAAAATAATTGTTAATTTTTTACAGATGGAGAAATTTTTCAAGTATGATTTAGGTTAACCGCCAACAAAACATGCTTCCCATTTCCTTCAATTTCTGAAGCTTTTAAAAGCTGAATTCAGTCATAATAATACATTAGTTTGGGGAAAAATAATTTCAATGGCAGAATGCTTTACATCAGATTAGTATGGACGCCGGCTGCGGCCATAGTACCCTCCATTGTCGTCTTTCTTTAACCACGCTTTCTCGATTTTTTCTTCTCCCTTTTCTTCACTTTCTGGTGCTTGTAGATATTGCCGCAAGCATAGATTAAGCTTGTAGTGAATGTGGTTGGATTGGCCTTGTAGTAAAGTGTTGTCGGATTGGAGTTTTTGAGGGTGTGGTCGGATTGGCCTTGTAGTGAGTGAGTGAGTGAGAAAAATAGGCCATAAAACTACTGTTAATTATAAAATTCATTTTCCCCGGAAATCAAAAATTTATTCTCCCGAAATTTGTCAATAGAAAGTCGTCGATTAAGTAGTTATGTTGACTGTTATTGTTTATTACAATAACTATTGGTGTACATTCTTTGTTAAAATCTCACGTGATACTATATAAATAATCCTATTCAAAACAGATATTTAAACCGACATTCATAGTTATTATGGCTTTATTATTCTATCTTGTCAAATAGTGCAGCGGTTTCGCTTGTCTGTATCGGCTGGATCATGTGCTGAACGTTTGACCTACTGTGATGTGATGATTAACCCAGTTAATCTAACTTTATTTCAGAAAGAATAGTCCTAATTCCCATCAGAATCGTGGTCTTCTCAATCCGACAGTTGCAGTGACAGTAGATTGGGTAAATACTGGGAGGAATTTTGTAATTTATGATTGGTACTCACGTGATAGTATTCTTAAACTGAAATTCAGAATCGAAGAAGTGACGAAACTTAGACCATTTAGGCAGACATTGAAATACGAAGATATAATCTTGCCAGTCAAAGATAGTCTTTTTGACTACGGTGTTATACATAACTGCACAATCAAATTGTACGAGAGATGAAATGAAATTGTGATTCCAGTAGATTGTGACTGACTTTTGCAACTAGTTGAAAAAAATGTGACTGATTTTTTCAACTGCTATGAAAATAAATCAGTGTGCTATTCAGTTATTAACTATATAATTTTATATATATATATTACATATATTATACAGAACGTTCTTGATTGTATTCAGTTGACTTTCAAAGATATGCATTTTATTTATGATAGCACAAATAGTCTAATACTACATATTCCGTGCAAGATACAATCTTAATTATTGTTTCAAAATTAGTAAAGGACACCTTCTGTCTTTAGGGCCCTTAAACTTAACTTTCCAGAAAACTATGCTAGAAATTTTTTTTAAGTAGTGAGCACCATGTTGTATTATTCAATTACTTGTATAAGGTATAAAGTACCATCAGATGGTAAATCAAATTCTTTATTTATATAGACACAGCTTTATTTTTCTTAATTGCCATTTGCAATTGTGACGTAATATTTGGTAAAGTGTTTCTTGCTGTATTTGTTACCTCTGTGAAATATGATATCCAAGATATAGCATTCGTTACTTCATATTTTGCTCGGAAGTCGTGTTTTCTAACTCGAGTAGTTAAAATTATTTCGACATATGACGTATTAATGTTGGGCAACCAATCAGAATTATATAGTGGGCACACGTGATATAATTATTGCCCAAAATAAAGTATATTTCTCTCTACAGCGCATGCGTCTGTATTGATTTTTCAAATGTTTCCCGAATAGAATCAAGTGTTAATTACAACTTCCTCGTAGGATACTTCCCACTTCCCACAGGTAACAAATACAACATAACACTACATTACAAGTGAGTATTAACGCTACATATACGTGGGATGAAGATCATGTTTTGAAGCCTTCACTTTGGTCTTATAGTCTTGTGATAGGAAAGCGTAAATTCCAATAAAGTAACTTCTATTTCGGATAGCATGCTCTATTTTCACGAACACCTGATACCAATTGTGTCAACTTGATATTGTCATGCCCGTGTCCTGTTTCATGAGTTCGGATTCGAAAAGAAGGGGGGTGGTTTGCCGTCATTCAGTAAATATAATTAATGCCAGGATGTGGATAAAGTGATTGAGGTCAGGATGTTGCGAGTAGAATAATCGAGGAAATACGCAGTATAGCACTCTAGGTATACTTTGTTTTAGGCTCTCGGTCAGTTAAGGTCATTTGGACAAAGCCTTGTTAAGACAGAGTGATTTAGACACATCTTCAATAAGGTAAACATTCATTTCGGCACACTTTTTACGTTCCAAATGTGTCATAAATCTTACATTTGCCTAACATGAATATTTGAGGTGTTTTTAATTCTCCAACTAATCCGACATTCCGATAGCTTATGTTGAGACTGCGAATATCTAGACTCAAGATGAGCTGTCGGACTGTCGGACTGTCGGACTAGTTGTTGGTAGATGACAAGTTAACGTTCACATCCAACTATCTGATATTACAGACTAGGTAGTTGTTGGTAGATGACAAGTTAACGTTCACATCCAACTATCTGATATTACAGACTAGGTAGTTGTTGGTAGATGACAAGTTAACGTTTCTTTCAATGGAAGCTGATATCACAGACTAGGTAGTTGTTGATAGATGACAAGTTAACGTTCGCCTCCAGCTATCTGATCTTACATGAGATGACAAGTTAACGTTTGCTTCCAGAAAATGCTGATATTACAGACTAGGTAGTTGTTGGTTTATGACAAGTTAACGTCAGCTTCCAGCTAACTGATATCACAGACTAGGTAGTTGTTGGCATTCGACAAGGTGACGTTCGCTTCCAGCGGATACTGATATCACAGACTAGGTAGTTGTTGGTAGATGGCAAGGTAACGTTCGCTTTCAGCTGATGCTGATATCACAGACTAGGTAGTTGTTAATAGATGACAAGTTAACGTTCGCTTCCAGCAGATGCTGATATCACAGACTAGGCAGTTGTTGATAGATGACAAGTTAACGTTCGCTTCCAGCAGATGCTGATATCAGGCAGTTGTTGGTAGATGACAAGTTAACGTTCGCTTCTAACTATCTGATTTCACAGACTAGGTAGTTGTTGGTAGATGACAAGTTAACGTTCGCTTCCAGCAGATGCTGAGATCAGGCAGTTGTTGGTAGATGACAAGTTAACGTTCGCTTCTAACTATCTGATTTCACAGACTAGGTAGTTGTTGGTAGATGACAAGTTAACGTTCGCTTCAAGCAGATGCTGATATCACAGACTAGGCAGTTGTTGGTAGATGACAAATTAACGTTCGCTTCCAACTATTTTATTTCACAGACTAGGTAGTTGTTGATAGATGACAAGTTATCGTTCACTTCCAACTATCTGATATTACAGTCAAGGTAGTTGTTGGTAGATGACAAGTTAACGTTCGCCTCCAGCTAACTGATATCACAGACTAGGTAGTTGTTGATAGTTGACAAGTTAACGTTCGCCTCCAGCTATCTGATATTACAGACTAGGTAGTTGTTGGTAGATGACAAGTTAACGTTCACATCCAACTATCTGATATTACAGACTAGGTAGTTGTTGGTAGATGACAAGTTAACGTTCACATCCAACTATCTGATATTACAGACTAGGTAGTTGTTGGTAGATGACAAGTTAACGTTCACATCCAACTATCTGATATTACAGACTAGGTAGTTGTTGGTAGATGACAAGTTAACGTTTCTTTCAATGGAAGCTGATATCACAGACTAGGTAGTTGTTGATAGATGACAAGTTAACGTTCGCCTCCAGCTATCTGATCTTACATGAGATGACAAGTTAACGTTTGCTTCCAGAAGATGCTGATATTACAGACTAGGTAGTTGTTGGTTTATGACAAGTTAACGTCAGCTTCCAGCTAACTGATATCACAGACTAGGTAGTTGTTGGCATTCGACAAGGTGACGTTCGCTTCCAGCGGATACTGATATCACAGACTAGGCAGTTGTTGGTAGATGGCAAGGTAACGTTCGCTTTCAGCTGATGCTGATATCACAGACTAGGTAGTTGTTAATAGATGACAAGTTAACGTTTTCCTCAGCGGACCAGAGGATACTGATATCACAGACTAGGTAGTTGTTGGTAGATGCCAAGTTAACGTTCACTTTCAGTGGATGCTTATATCACAGACGAGGGGGTTGTTGGTAGATGACAAGTTAACGTTCGCTTTCAGTGATGCTGATATCACAGACAAGGTGGTTGTTGGTAAATGACAAGTTAACGTTCGCTTTCAGCTAACTGATATCACAGACTAGGTGGTTGTTGGCAGATGACAAGTTAACGTTCGCTTTAAGCTAACTGATATCACAGACTAGATAGTTGTTGGTAGATGACAAGTTAACATCCATTTCCAGCTAACTGATATCACAGACAAGGTAGTTGTTGGTAAATGACAAGTTAACGTTCGCTTTCAGCTAACTGATATCACAGACCAGGTGGTTGTTGATAGATGACAAGTTAACGTTCGCTTTCAGTGGATGCTGATATCACAGACTAGATGGTTGTTGATAGATGCCAAGTTAACGTTCGATTTCAATGGATGCTGATATCACAGACTATGTGGCAATAGGACAGAAGCCTCTTTATTCCTACACGGATCTTTAACCTTGGAGGGAATGAGATTCACAAGAGAAAAGTGAACTTTACGTCTATTTATAACTCTATACATCAGATTGAATTTCCGTGTTACAATGGCCTTACCTTTCTGTATAAAACTCGAGGTGTATGATTCAATTCTCCAAAAATCGCCATTGTTCGGAAATAACTAGAGTTGTCATTACATTTTGTTACCTATTACTAAAACGCTGGTAAATCTATTTTAGTAACAAAAACAAACTTCTATTTAAATGTTTAGACTTCGATATACCTTAGCTGAAAACGGACGTTAAGTTGTCATCCACCAACTGTTCTACAATCTGTCACGCCTGGATTCAAAGTCTGGTAAACTATAATAAGGAATTAGATAAATTAGAACACCATCATGGGTCAGAGTGAAAGTAGGTAAGTAACATAAAATATTACTCAATACTCAAATGTTATTTTAATATCCCATACTAACGGTGACTCACATGCGGCATTTTTTATATTCACGGTTATTTAGGGTTTATGGTGCGAGGGGGTGGGGGGGGGGGGGGTCGAACTTGCTAATGTGGTGGCCTTGTCATAAATAAAATTCGACAGCTGGTGAAGGTGTAGACATGTACAAGGTAAAACACTATTTCATTTCAGTTGAGATAATTTCAGTTTTAATTTACATTATATTAATTTTATATTACTTCATTTCAGAATGAGTAGCTTTAGCAATCCGGTTATATTGCGTGGTGCCCAGCCTATGATCACGTTGAATATTGACTGGGTATCTACAGGGCAGAAATTTCAAGTAATGTGTTATCTATCATCTATTATTATTCACCTGAAAGATCTGATCCAAGACAAGACGGACATTCCATCCAGTAACCAGGAATTAAAATATCAAGACATGATCTTGTCTGACCCCAGACATTTAACCGAGTACGATATCGAGCATAATTCCACAATAAAATTGTACCAGAAAAATTCCAGTGGAAGGTATATTTTACAATAGATGTGATTGCTCGTGTAGAATTTAACAAATTATTTAGTAAACCTTCTTAATTCGTGTATATTCAGAAACCTTTGCATCTGTATCGGGAAATTTTTCTTCAAAACAAATTAAATTCATATTTTCTTAAAAGTCGTATTTTATATTCAGTTTGAAATGTTTCCGTATTTTTATATTCTTTGTTTGATTTAATGCAAAATTAAATCTTTTTTTCTCTGTTGCTTTGTACGATTTGTTTGTTGTACAACAAAACATGTCCTTTTGAATTTGTATATAGAATTAGATTTGATATATTTGATTTGATCTATTACGTTTAAACATATCAATAATCTCTATATATATATTTATATATAATTAATATTGTTGGATTTGTTGAATGAAAAGATATTATTACATAAAAAGCATTAGGATATTAAAATATGAAAAAAAAGAATTGAAGAGAAGTCATTGGTATTGTAAATAATACATCATAATAATGGGGGTGGGTGGGGGGGGGGGGGTGGGGCATAATTGGGGTAGGGGTGATTTGAGTCTTGATATTTTATATGTAAATAGTCTTCAGAAGTACTAGAACTGTCCGAAAATCGCACAATTTTTCAAACCATCAAAAATATCTCAAACTAGTAATTTCACTTTCAATTTCTATAGATGTCTTTTCTATATGACAGTGTCTCAAGAAAAGACGACTCGTCTTTTTAACTTTCAAACGTTGATAATTTTTGACACACATGGATTTGACGGTGAGCTATGAACACTATAACTGATTGGTATGGCTGAAAACTTACCGAGTATAATATCACCGGGTATTTTTCGATTTCTCGAGCAAAGAATTAGAATTCGAAGAAATTGTCATCATATCTGAATTATTTTAATTAATGTTTTAAGCATCCGGTCCAGGCCATGTTTCGCCGAAGCTGTACGAAGACAAAGAGGGAGTAGGTGATAAGGCAACGTCTCACTAGGAAATCACGTACATGAACGCAAAAACCCAAATACTGCATCTGTGACACGTGACTGATCAAAATGGTCTCATGTCCATGTCTACGAATTAAGAATTAATGCAGTATAGACACGGGTAGTCTTGTCATGTTCAAAAAGTTGATCTTCAAAAATTGCATCATTCACAAGGTCATCGATGGTTGCCATGTTTATACCACGTGATTCGTCAACTCAGTTCTATTGGTAAGTGACTTTTCTGGCTCAACTGACAGCTTAGACACCAGCACACGGTGAGGTCGTGGTCTCACGAGATTGAACAAATCAAACAGGATAGATTTTATCCTCACAGGGCCTCGGGGAAGAAAACTCACTAAAAATTCAATGTAGACGAGGGGAAACAACTCTTGAGGTTAAAACCCCACTCACAAAGAAGTCTAACTAGCTAGCAGATTGTTTGGTACAATGACAGTTTTCTGTGGTCAGAATGGGACTAGAGTATACCAAACTATCATGTCAAACTAGCTAGTAGATTGTTTGGTACAATGACAGTTTTCTGTGGTCAGAATGTGACTAGAGTATACCAAACTATCATGTCTAACTAGCTAGTAGATTGTTTGGTACAATGACAGTTTTCTGTAGTTAGAATGAGACTAGAGTATACCAAACATATAGTGTCTAACTAGCTAGCAGATTGTACAATGACAGTTTTCTGTGGTCAGAATGGGACTAGAGTATTCCAAACTATCATGTCTAACTAGCTAGTAGATTGCTTGGTACAATGACAGTTTTCTGTTGTCAGAATGAGACTAGAGCATACCAAACTATCATGTCAAACAAGCTAGCAGATTTTTTGGTACAATGACAGTTTTTTTTCCCTGTGGTCAGAATGAGACTAGAGTATACCAAACTATCGTGTCTAACTAGCTAGTAGATTGTTTGGTACAATGACAGTTTTCTGTAGTCAGAATGAGACTAGAGTATACAAAACTATCATGTCTAACTAGCTAGTAGATTGTTTGATACAATGGCAGTTTTTATCTCCCTAACACCCTTTCAATTGTCTGCGCCCCCTACGCATCCTTCTACCTAACCTGTAGAGAAACGTTAATTTGCGAAACTCCCTAACGAATTAATTTAAATAAGTAATGAAAATCACCGGAAAACCAACAAAAAAAAGCATTATGTATATAATGATAGAGTTTAGACTGTTTATAAATCATTCATTGTAAATTCAATAAGTCCTCCAATTGTCCTGGGACAATCCTCCGGACAATTACTACTAATGTAAATATTAATTACTGATTTTAATCTATGAAAAAAAGAAATAACAGAGTGGGAGATTCCAGGAAAATTGAAGTAAAAGTATGTAATTTAATTCTTCATAAAAACTCGAATAGTAATCTCTCGACTTGATATAAATATCCCTTAAAAACTTTCTTCAGAGGACTCACAATTTTTACTTAAAGAGATTGTTACGAGGTTTTTTGAATTTTTCATGTGTATCGGAGACACTGATATCATCAATTTGCACCATTCCAATTTTCAATCAGACATCTGTGGTTCCTGCAATTCCACTATAAATAAGTGTATGATGCCGACAATAATCATAAAATATACTTAATTACATAAGAGACCTCTCGATTAGTGACGTCACCAAACACTTATTTTTGAAGAAGCTGATTAACAAAGACTCATTTTAACCAAGTTTTAAAATTTTGATATTTTGGTCATCCTAAGAGGTAGTATACCTTTGTTGTTCACCAACTGTGCAACATCTTAACTGGGGAAATCCCCGAAACCCCCCTTTCTAAAACAGTAACATTATATAACTGAGCTAATAGTCTAGTAAACTGCTTTCTTCCTCACAGTCATTGAAATACAACGATATAAACTACAACAAGGTAAGAGACTTAAAATTCAATTCTCAATCCATTGATCCGTTATAAAATCACCTTGTATTATTCAATTATCTCATACCGTCCTGTAGACAGTACAGAGAAGGGAAAGAATTTGAACTTTTATAGAGACCATATCTCAAATGAGGTTGTCATCCTTGTAAAAATAACTTGTTCTGTAGAAGCTAAATATTTCACCATAATATACTATTTCTTTTAAAAATAATTTCAGATGGATGGAGTTTTTTTGTACAATATCCATGACCCCGAGCTAATTCTCTGTCTTTTATTCTGTCGAAGCTAAATATGGACATATTTAATCATACTACACTATTTCATTTAAAACATTTCAGATGGATACAGAACGTTTTAAAGATGCGCCCGACACAATTGTCTTGCGGGTGATATGGGAAGGTTATTGGTCAAATTCTAGCTTTATTATAAATATTGATCAAAAAGATACAGTTGGTAATCTAAAAAATCTGATCCATCTTGAAACTAATATTGCACCAATCAACCAGATATTGAAATACCACGGCGACACTTTGTCCAACCATAATACCTTGTATGACTACGGCATCAGTGATAATTCTACAGTCAAATTGTGCTAGAAGATGTCCAATGGATAGTCGCGGAAAGAATAGACCAGAATATCAAGTGAACTCTCTAAATTGGTGTACATTCAGATATAACAATGAAATATATATGTATTTTTTTTAAATCCCTGATGCTAAACCTGTATTAAATAATAACATAATGTAGTCAGTAGAACACATTTTATTATCTGGAAATGGAAATGGATATACACATGTATTACATGTCGAAAGTGACTCGTTGTTCAGACTAAAAAAAGAAAATTGAAAAAGTGTAGGCTGATGTGGTAGTCTCACTAACGCGGTGTTACATTTCTTAGCCTGAAGAATTTCAGAAACAAAATTGACTCATTCTTTCAGTCAGTTTTCACTACCAATTAATCTATTGTATTCATTCTTGTTTGGTGATGTATTTGTTTCTTGGGCCCTTTTTTGAGACTTCATTAAATAATTTTAAAATCAAAGAGTTTGTAAAGAGGCTTTCTAGACTTTTTATGTGTATCGGGGACACCTTGGACTTCTATTTGGGACATTCAAATTCTCCATCTAATGCCTGTGGTTCCTGCAATCTAGAAAGAATTAACCGGAAATGACGTAGCTCCTGCAAGAGAATTTGTAACCATTATACCACCAAACCACAATAACATAATAATATATGTTATCTCCCCTTACAAGATGGCGACATTTCTAAATAAGACTATTCAAAATGTTCTTCACCGTTACCTTATAAAACTCTTTACCACATCTTATATTGCTTAGTTTTTACATAATTGGAGAGATATATGATATGCAAATCAGAGCGCTTATGATAAAATGGCCGAATTCAGTGAGATGAACATTTGGCAAATGACTTTAGTTTTCCAAATCCACTAATACTAAACTAAAAGACGTTAGTCTCGCATTGCGAGTACTACAAACGTCTGATTGACGCAACAACGTGTGACGAAACTTCGAAATCTAATGCATGGCGAAACATCACCAACTAACGTGTGGCGAAACATCACATATGTAACGTGTGACAAACATCACCTATTTGACGTGTGGCGAAACATCACTATCTAACGTGTGGCGAAACATGTCTGTAGTCGACAGGAAATACCGTTTCACCCCGTGATAAATTACAGTTGATAACGCTAACTGTAACAGGGCCGTTTTTAACGACTGTGAAATCTGATCTCATTTTCCCCGAAAGAAGGTGTATTATATACCGGTATTAACATGATGATTTCAACTTGATAATGACTGGTAAATATCATCGAGATGAAATAACTTTAAATTACTAGTATAATGTTTCAAGTGGGGTAAAATTTGTTTATAGACATTCTTTATTAAACATGTACACATATAGATTATACACTTTACATAATAAAATAAAATATGACTTGATGCCTGATATCTTATCATACAGAATATAAATAAAGTTATAGTTTCCAATCTTACAATTTCTACTATATATCACATACATACTTTTAATATGTATAATACACGTTGTTTATGAGGCATTGGTGACAGTAGACGAGTCTTTAAAAGGCTTGTATATCTGCCTATTTTTCAGTGTAAATTTTGAATCAGAGAAATTGTTTAATTCTAAATTCTTCGTTTTATTTAGATATCTAGAAATGTCGAATTTACTAGGGTTATTACTTGGAAGTTTACATTTGTAATTATAATATTGTGCCGAATATATTAAATGGATTACAAAGGGCCTTCCGAGACTTAAGGTACATATAGTGGACAGACTGACTGACTCAATGGGGGAACTGCTGAGGTTGAATTCAAATTTTGGCTACTCTGAGCATGTGTACGTCATAGTCGCAAGCCTTTCATAGAGTGTTTTAGAGAGTCCTCTCAGGAAAATTTCAGAAAAATTGAATTGATTTTGTGCATTCTGACACATATTAAGGAGAAAAAAGATAAAAACATTAAGATTTGGTGGTACAATTGGGGTTGAAAACCACTTTTCTAAGGTACCCCTCACTGGCTCCGCGACTGTTCAGGACAGGAGTTACAGAGTGTACAAAGTGAACATTCTATTAATTCATATTTAAACAGTTTTACGTTTGTATATATTACTCCATGTAAATATTTCTATTGAAAATTCCGTAGTTTTGAATTGGAGCAAAAGGGTAGAAGTTTACTGATAAACGATCAGAATGTCTGTTGAACTTGAGGTTAAAAACTCGGCCAAATAGTCGTCAAATACGTCACCAAAACCCTGGTGTGATTTGATTTTTAATTACGTCACTAGTAAAATATGTGGTTAAAGCGGGAGGTTGGCCATAGTGGATGAGTTATGAAATGTAGCTGGTGATTGTGGTATGTTACTACACATGAATGGAAAATTTACTATGGGAAAATCAAAGTTTTCTCGTTTGTCATAGACTCAAACATCGGGGTTGTTGACAATTTCAAGAAGCAAATTCAAGTAGGACGCTTTAGTCTTAGAATCAGTGGTATTTCTAATTTCCAACTCTCCATATATACAGAGTTATTCAGTGACAATACGTCATCTATGCAAGGGAAAGTGTATTTGAAGGAACGAGGTTGTTCACTGCTCTTGCGTTGGAGATCTTGAATAAATTCAGCCTCATTAGAATAGAGAAATAAATCAGCAAGTAAAGCAGAGCAACTAGTATCCATAGGAATACCGATTACTTGCTGAAATATCTAACTGCCAAATTAAACAATATGATATCGATAACTAATTTTGACATTTTTCCCACGCTACTACATCTATATATTGTCCTACCATATGTGTTGTAAAGTAGAACATAGAGATATTTGAAAATGGAGAGATTATCAAATCTTCAGTTCGCTATTATAAATTAAATCAAAATAAATATAATGCTGGTTAAACAAGTCTACATTCTTTCCAATGAAAAAACATTTCTATAATTAGTAACGGAAAACCTTCATTTTACTCTACCACTCACTTTCTTTCTGACCTCTATTAACTATAACAATAACCCGGTTACCTATACCCTCATGTACTTTTATTTATTCAAAACTGGAGCACTATACACTGAAGTTAAATGTTTTACTCGTCGACAGCAAAATTTTGTTTTGTTGCAATATTTCGTGCACATTCAAGTCTTTCACAAAATATAAACAAGGCGGTCTATAGAATAAAAAATAAATTGTTCTTAAAGGGATCTAGTTTATATATTTGATGCAACTCGGAAACGCAATGTGCTCAAGGAAAGGAAGAATACTGATCTCCAACAATTCTACTGAGAGGCATTGTCTCCATTATTTAGTCTTTATACATTGTATGATTTGTATGACTAAACAATACTGGTTGAATACGCCTACACAGGGAAAACCCCGGTCTAAAATAGTAACATGTTAAACTACTGTTCTAATTTCATGTTTGAAACCATTGAAATACACGTCGATAAACCACAATAAGGTAAGAGACTTCAATTCTCAATCCATTGATCCGGAGCCGCGGTGGTTCAGTGAGTTAGACGCTTACTCGCTAACCTGAAGGTCCAGGGTTCAATCCATGCATAGGTCGAGATAATACCCTCGGATTTTTCAACCCGGTTTCCCCGTCAGTGATGCAGGTACGGGGGGCTGACATGGTAAAAGCGTCTAGTCGTTCGGATGGGACAATAAACCGAGGCCCCGTGTGCTACAGGCTGTGCACGTTAAAGATCCCTCGACAGTTGGAAATCGAAAAGAGCAGGCTAATGCCACAGTCCTCGCTAAATTTCCCTCATTGCAACCTGCATGGCGTTGCCCGTCTTCAGTAGCCCACATGGTGCAGAAGAGTAGGTCGTAGAGCTTCATTCATTTCATTGCAATCCATTTATCCGTTATAAAATCACCTGGTATTATTCAATTATCTCATACCGCCTTGTAGAGATTTTAGAGAAGGGAAAGAATTTGAACTTTTATAGAGACCATATCTCAAATGAGGTCATCCTTGTAATTTATTTATCGCGCAAATTATCTCAAGTACTAATCTGCTAACTAGTTGGACACGATAGTTGGGTATTCTATAGTCCCAATCTGCTAACTAGTTGGACACGATAGTTGGGTATTCTATAGTCCCAATCTGCTAACTAGTTGGACACGATAGTTGGGTATTCTATAGTCCCAATCTGCTAACTAGTTGGACACGATAGTTGGATATTCTATAGTCCCAATCTGCTAACTAGTTGGACACGATAGTTGGGTATTTTTTAGTTCCAATCTGCTAACTAGTTGGATTAACTAGTCGTCTAGTCCCAATCTGATAAATAGTTGGATTAACTAGTCGTCTAGTCCCAATCTGCTAACTAGTTGGATTAACTAGTCGTCTAGTCCCAATCTGCTAACTAGTTGGACACGATAATTGGGTATTCTCTAGTCCCAATCTGCTAACTAGTTGGACACGATAGCTGGGTATTCTCTAGTCCCAATCTGCTAACTAGTTGGACACGATAGCTGGGTATTCTCTAGTCCCAATCTGCTAACTAGTTGGACACGATAGTTGGGTATTCTCTAGTCCCAATCCTCTAACTAGTTGGTGACGATAGTTTGGAATTCGCTAGTCCCAATCCACTAACTAAAGTCACGATAGTTTGGTATTCTCTAGTCCCAATCTGCTAACTAATTTGAAACGATAGTTTGGTATTCTCTAGTCCCAATCGGTGCCCGATTATGCTTTACAAACGTGTATTGTAAGATTAAGAAAATGTATAATGGTGTAACAACCATGAAAATTTCAAGAGAGTAATTATCTAAAAGATTCTCTAGAATAGTGTATTTTAGTTTATATTTAAGGCGTGGTGGAATAAATTATATGGGTATCAGTTCACAAAGTTGTGAAGGCTAGTTGTTTCTGTCTTTTTTTCTGTCGAAGCTAAATAAGGACATATTTAACCATATTAGAATTTTTAATTTAATTTTGTTTTCAGAATGAATGGAAGAGGATATTTTGGGTTCGGATTCCCCGACCCACTAGATCACGTTAAATATTTTGCACGTCCTGAGCATAATGAGGCAATCGATATACGAGTGAAATGGATATCTACTGGGGAGACTTTTGAAGTTTCTTGTGGTCCAGATGATACAGTTGGTCACCTGAAAGATCTGATCCAAGACGAGACTGGTATTCCACCAAACAACCAGAAATTGAAATACCACGACGAGACTTTGTCCAACCATAAGAAACTGTCAGACTACGGTATCGGACATAAGTCCAGAGTCAAATTATATCAAAAGACTTCCAGTGGATTTGTTAGGAAATGAAGCGTCACTGTCTGATAAGAATATCTAGTGAACTAACTGTCTAATTTCAAAAAGAACCAAACGATTTTCTAATTCATTCATGTGTATCGGGACAATTATTGTCTTATATGTTATTTGCGATGATGACGTCAAGGGAATTGCAGATATCAGACGGGGAATCAGATTTACATTTAAATTACGATTTCAAGATTTTGATTTATTCTAAGTTCTTTTGAAATAAATATCTGAAAAATACTCAATAACTCGTTTCTTTGTGTTCAAATACATCGTAAATATCTGAAAAATACTCAATAACTCATTTCTTTTTGTTCAAATACATCGTAAATATCTGAAAAATACTCAATAACTCGTTTTTTTGTGTTCAAATACATCGTAAATATATGAAAAATACTCAATAACTCGTTTCTTTGTGTTCAAATACATCGTAAATAACTGAAAAATACTCAATAACTCGTTTCTTTGTGTTCAAATACATCGTAAATATATGAAAAATACTCAATAACTCGTTTCTTTGTGTTCAAATACATCGTAAATATCTGAAAAATACTCAATAACTAGTTTCTTTGTGTTCAATTACATCGTAAATATCTGAAATATACTCAATAACTCGTTTCTTTGTGTTCAAATACATCGTAAATATCTGAGATTGTAGTAAAAGCAAGTTCGTGTTTTATTGTGCTATTTCTAAGAGAAGATTCACTCGTTCTGAGCATCTCATGTAATACTCGTCAAATTGACATTCCTTTTGAGTGAGACGTTTCGAGAAGTCACGACATGGCGACTCGGTACAATTTTACAATTTAAAGGGATTGTAAAGAGGTTTTCTAATGGTTTTACGTGTTTTGTGTTAGGGACACAGTGCATTGGAACGTTCCAATTAGTCGGTCAGATGCCAGTGGTTCTGACAATGCCACAGAAACTAAGCATTTTATGACATCACTTTAGCAAAAAATATCTTATCATGTGGCCCGTGGCAATGGGGGTTTTTCAAAAATGATATGATGTGGGCCTGGATGTTTTATTTTCTTTGGGGGTAGTGATGTTACGATTGTCGGCGACAATCGATTATAGGTCGTTGAAGGTCCAACGCTAACCGATTCCAAACTGAAAGTCGGCAAGTATTGGCAACACACGCAAATGATAGACGTACTGAATTCACTTACGGACAGTCTTGAAATAATTTTGATGCCTATTATTGTCGCATTTTGTCATCTTTTTATCCCGATTGAGTTGTCTGGGAAAATTCTTTTCTAAACAAGTCACGTTAGTAGTGTAGTCTCGTTTTCAATTTTGATATTTAAAAATCAGACAAAAAAAATTGTGTAAAGTAGCCCCCACAAAAAGATAGTGACCTCTGCTCTATGCTTTTGTCAGATGTTGATCACTTATTTATTACTACTTGGAAAGTTTATGACCGGAGTAGAAACATCTGTCTCTTTTCCACCCTCTGATAACTATTGTGACAGTCGAGAGGGTTAGGATTTCATGAATTTCATAATAATTATCAGAGGTTGGAGTAGGGTTAGATTCGTTAGAAAAAAACAAATATTGTAAGCAAGAAATTAGAGAGTTAAATCGCTTTAATGTGGCCTTCAGTTTCATTCCCCATACAATATGCTGAATAATATAGTTAATGACGGTCATATTGTTTCTTTATAGAGTAACAATTAATATAACTCTTTTTAATATCTAATATTTCAACTCTCTAGATGTTTATAAACACAATTACTCCATTACTTTTCCAACACAAGATTATTGTCCACAAAGGCTGGGACCATTAGCAAGTTTTAATTCAAAGAGACGCAAAAGATGTTTTCTAGCCTTTGTGTGTACATCAGGGACACTTACAGCTTCTATTTGGTCTGTAGGCTAAAACAAGGCCCGCAGCTACAGGATGCAGTTTACAGCTACATGCTAAATGCTACATGCTACATGCTACAAGCTACAGATACAGTTTACAGATACAGTTTACAGCTACAAGCTACAAGCTACAGCTACAGCTACAGCTACAGCTACATGCTACAGCTACATGCTACAGCTACTAGCTACAGCTACAGCTACAGCTACATGCTACATTCTACATGCTACATGCTACATGCTACATGCTACATGCTACTAGCTACTAGCTACTAGCTACTAGCTACAGGTTACAGACAAAATAGAGGACAGGATAGCTTGAATAGACTCTAATTTGTTTTCTATTTCATTCAATAAATACAACAAATAAAATATTTAGATTCCAATTCTCTTGGTGTCACTAATTACTGAGATAAAACAGGTATATATGATCAATAACGGTTGACGGTTTACTGGTGAAATTGAATCTTATATGATAACCATCAGAACAGTTAGATAGCTGCAGTATACAGTATCATTATCAGCTTGTACTAGCTGCACTATACAGGATCATTATCAGATGTAATCTAGCTGCAAGATACAGGATCATTATCAGCTCGAAACTAGCCGCAGTAAACAGGATCATTATCAGCTGATACTAGCTGCAGGAAACAGGATCATTATCAGCTTGTACTAGCTGCAGTATACAGGATCAGTATCAGATGTAATCTAGCTGCAAGAAACAGGATCATTTTTATCAGCTCGAAACTAGCCGCAGTAAACAGGATCATTATCAGCTGATACTAGCCGCAGTAAACAGGATCATTATCAGCTGTAAACTAGCTACAGTATACAGGATCAGTATCAGATGTAATGTAGCTCGAGATACAGGATCATTATCAGCTCGAAACTAGCCGCAGTAAACAGGATCATTATCAGCTGATACTAGCCGCAGTAAACAGGATCATTATCAGTTGTTAATATTGAAGTTGAAGTGAAGATAGAAGGATGAGGGGGGTGATAACAACACCTCTGAAAATCTATACTGTATTATTTATTGTATCAGATGGTGTGTTGATTCCTAATCCTGAATTAAACGGTAAGTCTTTAACGATTTTAAAATCTTACTTATGAGTGTAGCTGAAATCAGAGTAATAAACTAACGTTTCTTCTTAAAGAGATAAGTACGCGTTTTTTTGGACTATTCGTACCTGAGTCTCAGAAACGGAAATTTTCTAGCCAAGCCAATCAGTAATGGTATTCACAGCTCACCGTCGATATTTGAGCAATCAACATGATGCAGTTTTAATAGATTGAGTATAATGATGGCACATGATGCAGTTTTAATAGATTGAGTATAATGATGGCACATGATGCAGTTTTAATAGATTGAGTATAATGATAGCACATGATGCAGTTTTAATAGATTGAGTATAATGATAGCACATGATGCAGTTTTAATAGATTGAGTATAATGATAGTCATGATGCAGTTTTAATAGATTGAGTATAATGATAGCACATGATGCAGTTTTAATAGATTGAGTATAATGATGGTACATGATGCAGTTTAATAGATTGAGTATAATAATAGTACATGATGCAGTTTTAATAGATTGAGTATAATGATAGCACATGATGCAGTTTTAATAGATTGAGTATAATGATAGCACATGATGCAGTTTTAATAGATTGAGTATAATGATAGCACATGATGCAGTTTTAATAGATTGAGTATAATGATAGCACATGATGCAGTTTTAATAGATTGAGTATAATGATAGCACATGATGCAGTTTTAATAGATTGAGTATAATGATAGCACATGATGCAGTTTAATAGATTGAGTATAATGATAGCACATGATGCAGTTTTAATAGATTGAGTATAATGATGGCACATGATGCAGTTTAATAGATTGAGTATAATGATGGTACATGATGCAGTTTTAATAGATTGAGTATAATGATGGTACATGATGCAGTTTTAATAGATTGAGTATAATGATGGTACATGATGCAGTTTAATAGATTGAGTATAATGATGGTACATGATGCAGTTTTAATAGATTGAGTATAATAATAGCACATGATGCAGTTTAATAGATTGAGTATAATGATGGTACATGATGCAGTTTTAATAGATTGAGTATAATAATAGCACATGATGCAGTTAATAGATTG